CCATCTAAAAAACATTGCCAGGATCAAAAACATAGTGTCTAAAGCAGACCTGGAGATTCTTATCCATGCATTTGTCTCCAGTAGGTTAGACTACTGCAATGGCCTGCTCACAGGTCTGTCCAAACAGGCTGTAAAACAGCTGCAGTACATTCAAAATGCAGCAGCTCGAGTCCTGACTAGAACCAGGAAGTACGACCACATTAGTCCAGTTCTCAGGTCTCTGCACTGGCTTCCTGTGGCTCAGAGAATAGACTTTAAAACAGCTCTGCTTGTTACAAGTCTCTCCATGGCCTCGCACCAAAATATATTAGTGACATGTTAGTACCATATGAACCAGCCCGGACTCTGAGGAGCACAGGGACTGGACTCCTGTTAGTGCCCAGAGTCAGAACTAAACATGGGGAGGCTGCTTTTCAGATTCATGCTGCTAAAATCTGGAACAATCTTCCTGAAGATGTGAGACAGGCCTCCTCTCTGACAATGTTTAAAACCAGGTTAATGTACTGTGATTATTTATGCCTTGTGTATGAATTGTGCTATACAAATAAACTTGCCTTACCTTGCCTATATAATTGGTGTGAAATATATTATGCTATGAATATTTTGATAAATTTCACTTTAAAATGTTCAAAATATGCAAAGGATGATAATAGCAGTCTTTTTAATCGGAAATAATTCTGAAAATGTTCAATTGAATCTGTATTATTAATTTTAGACTCAGTTCAGTTCAGGTTTGGACTCCTATTGAAGACAATAATTGGTTAGAGGAGACAACAAGAACAGAATGACTCACAGCTCTCTCCCAGTGCGATGATTGAAGGAAGTTCCTGTCGCTCCGCTCACGCCGGCCGAGGTCTGCAATTGGCAGCGAGACATATGAAAACATCTCACATGAAAACATTGTACATATGTCAAGACGGCAGCGACACTAAAGGAATGACAAGAGACAAAACAGTATGCAGCTCACCACTCTCTCCGCACAGGAAGCCACACGAGCTGTATTCAACAATTCAGACTGGAAAAAACTACTGCTTTGGCTTTATTTACTTGTATATAATGATTAGAAATAACAAGTGCCTTTTCTTTAAATAATACAACCACATCCGTACTGGTGTTAGCATGATAGCTGCTAATTTTCTAACTGATGCTACCTCCTCTGTACTGAATCCTGTGATTGGTCGGGTCAGAGGGGTCTGGAGGACGACGTGTGACTCGGCACAGATCTGCTCACACGCATGCAGGCACAGATCCATCTTCGCGGCTGGGTGCTTCCTCTTTGATAGTCTTCTCCATATTCATGAGCGATCCCAGCAGAAGGTTATTATCCATAAATGTCACTCTATAATTAATTAATCCTGTCTGCCGCTTGCTTTCGCTGCCTCATTAGACAGACACTGATTGTATTCAAATGCACACATCCAAATATACAACTTATTTTCAAACCAAAAAATCTGAACAATGGCTTTTTAGAAAAAATCTGTTGTTTTCTTTAAGGCAATTCTCTCCCTTTGCACATTGAGTTGAACTTGGAAGAGCAAATGTGGTCCGAGGAGACAATTATTGGAGTAATTTGGTACTGTTTAGCAAATTGATTTCTAAAAGCCACCCCAGAGGCCAATCTATTACAGTTGCTTTTGAGTTTTAATAAAAATCCAATAGGAAATTTGCACAAAGCCACAAGGAATACGCCACGGCACGTCACGCTAATAGACACGCATAGAAACCCACGCCAAGTGATTTGACATTTAGCCTACCACGCACTCAATTATTGCGAGTTTTCTCCCGTACGCTTGTGGCGAAGCACAGTGTTTTTGTAAAGGGTGATAATCTATAGGCTCTGAGGGACGCTTGAGAACATGCTAGGCTGATATAGACTCACCGGGGTTGGTGCTAACAAAGATAGCATCATAATTGGAAGCTCTTATGTCAAATCGCACCGAGCAGCAGGGGTGAAGTGGTCCGGAGCAGGAGGCAGTTCTTGCTTCTTGCATCTGGAGAACTGGAAGAAGAAATTTATCACTAAATGTCAACAGTTTAGGATTGTACAAAGCAGCATTGTAGAGAGTATGGTTAGCAGTTAGGGTTATTCTGTCTGAAGCTACAAGCCCAGTGTTAAGGTTGAGATAAACATTACAGGATTAGGTAAAAAAATGTCTTAAAGCTGATTCAGATTCAGATTTATTCTCTTCGCCATCTGCAGTAAAGCGACAGCATGTGCTAAAGTTCCCAGTGTGCACCAGACAAGTACACAAGTAAAACAAGCTTTTTCTTGTTTGTCTCAAGAAAAAAAGTCTTGCAAAAGTTAAGTTTGAACAAATGAGATGAAACATGCTGTCTTCATCTTATTAAAAACATGTCATCTTTCAGTCCTGTGAATGATGGTCTTCTTTAATACTTTGCAGTCTGGAAAAGCTAATCTAAAGGTGTGACAGAGCCCAGAAATACATGCAAGTGGGTTCTAAAGATAGTGTGGACATGGCTTATATATTTGAGGAAATGTGAATATTTTTAATGTTTAGTCCAGTGGCGGAGCCAGAGGGGTAGCCAGGGTGGCCACTGCCACCTCTAAAAATATCCTTGCCACCCCCAGTGCCCCCCTCGGAAGACGGCAATGTAATAATGTTAATCTTGAGAATCTTCCGCACTTTTTCCGCCAAAAGCTAAAAATTCCCACGGTTTCCCCCGTCTGTGAACGCACCCTGACTCCGTGTGGAGCCGGTGCTGTACGCTAATGTTTTGGGTTGTTGGACTCAGGTGTGCCCAAGTCGTGATGAAAACAAAGAGGTAAGTTAGCGATGCAGAGCCAACCGTTTACATTTGACACAAAGTATAGACACACGTACTGCAGCGCATTACTGTTCAGTTTGTAGAACTTTTAGTGTGTGTATGTGTGCGTGTGCGTGTGCGTGCCTGTATGCGCGCCTGTATGCGTGTATGAGCGTGCCAGTGTGTCTGCGTGTGTGTGCGTGCCTGTGTGTGCCAGTGTGGGTCTGCGTGCCGGTGTACGTGTGTGCGTGCCTGTGTGTGGCAGTGTGTGTGTGCGTGCCTGTGTGCGTGCGAGTGTGCATGCGTGTGTATTTTCCATTGCCTCTTCCCTTTAGTGTAAACATGAAAAGAAAAGGAGAAAACATTGCCTACAGGCCTTTTTTTGTTAAGAAAAGGCATGGCAACTAATTTGACCAAATAAATCATTGTATTTATTTTTACCAACCGTAATCGACAGGGCCATGCCAAAGTATATATATATATATACTCCCTGGGTCAACTGTTTAGAATATTCTAATTGTAATCAAAGGTCACTGTGTCTGAACGCAGTACTTGACAGAAACTAAACTCTAATTGAGTTGTTTCTCAATCTGAGAGTTATAAGAGTTCAGGACCTTAACACTAATATAAGTGTCAAATGAGCTTATATTCTTAAGTTCATGGCATTTATAAAACTAAAACGGATTAGTACAAACAATGTGTAAGTTAGTCTAGTGAGCTAATATAAACAAACATGAGGATGAAACAGGATGATTTAATGTGGCGGTAATTTAAACTAATTTAAAGTTATTGCAGCGGACTGTAATCTGAACTTAAAGGCACACCGCGGACTTTGTGACCTAAAGAGTTGACACATATGAGTTATTTTATATGAATACTTGGGCCAATATACAGCGCTTGACACTTGCAATGCTCCGAGCGGGGCTGCCCTCTTGAAATACCGCCCATGTAACTTTCGAGCAGACGGACCGTCTGCCACCAGGTCACGTGACTTGGAAGAAACACTTGCTTTACGGCTACAGGCGCTGATATACTCATGGAGCTAAGGCTTTTGCTACTCATTTTTCACCTGCTCGACTCCTGGTCATGGCTGAGGCAAGGAAAAATTTTAAACCTTCGGAGGAGGCTAAAAAGAGGAAACGCGAAAGGGATCGTGCTGTAAGCTGCATGTCTGTATGAGCGCTGCTCTTCACCTGGTTCCTGGATGTCATCGACTGCAAAGATGTCATTCCACGCAGCACGAGCTAGACGCAGAACTCCCTCATCCAGGATATAGAAGTCCATGTGTGGTAGATTACTAATGCAGCGGTCTGGAGGCTGACCACAGCAGAGTCTCTCAATATCTGTAGGCATGTCTCTACAGTTTGAACACACACACCAGTGCATGCTGTCTGAATACACACTCAAAAGACACCGGCTGACTGTTTGACTTTTGCGACAGTGCTGAGTTGCTTGTGGCCACTAGGGGCGCTAAACGTGAAAGTTGCAGGTCTAGCGCCCCTAGTGGCCAAGAGTTACACGGTGTGCCTTTAAGCTTTTACAGACTTGAAAGTTCCAGTAACTTGAAATACAAAAAGGTACATGTAGTTGGCAAAACTAGAAACACTGACAGAACTTAATGATTGCAGTTCTTCAAAACGTAAAGAATTAAGTTGATGCTTCAACTCAAAAGTCGCGTGCAGCCAGTTACCTTGAAATTTTGAGTTGAACTAACTTTTTCGTTTTTACAGTGTACTACTACTACTACTACTATTACAGGCTTCTACTGCCGCTGCTGTTCGCTGTTGCACCTGTCCCAGAGGTCTCCCATCACAGAACTAAACAGTCTATTTACTTAACACAGTACAAACAAGACACATTTATTTTATAACCACGTGACTGCTGCAGGTTGAGAAAGGACAATGCTCTCCTTTACACAGGGAGGAGTGTGATGTGTGATGAAATAGAGAAATTCTCTCTATTCTGACGGTTCTGCCACAAAAAACTAGAGAGAGTGAAGATAGTTTATGTAAAGGCAAAAGAATTGTACAGCGATTGTAGTTTTCTGTAGTTTAGTCCAATATTTGGTGAACAAAAAGTAACCAATGCATATTTGTCATTTAATTATGTTCTTTAAGTCAATGGAATTCTGAAAAAACTGTTTTATTAGAAGTCATTTACAAGAATATTATATTTATATATATATTTAGTAACTTTTAATTAGTGTTTTTCTATTATCTGTGTTTTTCTTCCAGAGAGTCCCGTTCACCGGCTTGATCAACGGAGGTCTGCAGGACGGGAAGTCCATCACCGTGAGCGGGCGAGTGCTGCCGGCGGCTGACAGGTCTGAGAAGCAACACACTATGGTTGGACTCCAATAGACTTAAAGCTGAAGTTCTTAACTGTTAAACTCCACTGGAACTAGGTCATAAAATACATGTAATAGCCTCAGTCCTGGGTCTACAGCCTCAGTCCTGGGTCTACAGCCTCAGTCCTGGATCTACAGCCTCAGTCCTGGGTCTACAGCCTCAGTCCTGGATCTACAGCCTCAGTCCTGGGTCTACAGCCTCAGTCCTGGGTCTACAGCCTCAGTCCTGGATCTACAGCCTCAGTCCTGGGTCTACAGCCTCAGTCCTGGATCTACAGCCTCAGTCCTGGGTCTACAGCCTCAGTCCTGGATCTACAGCCTCAGTTCTGGATCTACAGCCTCAGTCCTGGGTCTACAGCCTCAGTCCTGGGTCTACAGCCTCAGTCCTGGATCTACAGCCTCAGTCCTGGATCTACAGCCTCAGTCCTGGGCAGTGTTGGGCACGTTACTTTGAAAAAGTAATTAGTTATAGTTACTAGTTACTTCTCCCAAAAAGTAACTGAGTTACTAACGGAGTTACTCCACTATAAAAGTAACTAGTTACCAGTAAAAGTAACTATTGCGTTACTTTCTCGTTTTGTTCTGGAACATAATGTGCACTCGACGTGCGCATTTTTACCTTTAACCTCAGTGAGTTTGAAATAGTGCCAATATTTCCATCTAGAAAAGGCTGTTTTGCTGCTGAAGTCCTGTTCACTCTTCATCTCTCTCTGTGCTGTAAGCACTAAACACCAACACCCGCCACTGTGAATGTGGAAACACCGGTGAAGCACTGACTTCAGCCCAATCAGATGAACATATATATCATATAAATCAAGTGGACCTAGAGAGCGGCTTATTTGTTTGGCTACAGCAGAATATGTTTCATGCCCGCATTGTTTGTTCATACAAAACGCAAAACTAAGAGTTATGGGTCTTACCTTATAAATGACCTGCACAGGCCACTTCGGTTCAGACCAGTTCCATGTTTAAGTCCAGATAATAGTTTGAGCGTAGATATGTAATCCTCCATTTGGAAATGAGTCCAATTAGTTTTAAAAAGTAAAACAAAACGCGTGTGTCCTCCATAAACTCCTGTGTTTTGCTAGCTGAAGCCGGGTGCATCCGATTTCTAAAATCAACCGTCTTACACTTCACCTCTCTTTCTTATCATTCCTATAGTCATTGAAAAATTACCCTAAGTGCATTTTAAATTATCTTAAAATGTGTTATAGGTATCTTAGCCAAACCTGTTGATGTCCTTAGCAGATAAACCAGGAAGAGAAAGGAGCTTATCAATGGAATTGTATGCAGCCGACTTCTGCGCTCTCATGCGCTCCTCTGAGGCTGACCTCACGGTGATACAAGCCGTGGTAGAGTGTGATTAATTTGTTTCATTTGTTTAAAAAACACAATTTATGAGCTATCCTCTCAACTGTAGACATGTAGATTGTAAAGGAAATATGTTTTACATCAGCCAATAATTGCTGAGAGGTTTTCTCATCCTCCCTTCTCTCATGACAACACGCGCACGAGTCCTATCACGAAGTAAAAAGAGAAGTTCACTGTGCGTCTTGAGTAACGCGCAGTAACGGGATGTCGGAAATGCTAACGGCGTTATAGTTACAGTCAAAGTAATTAGTTAGATTACTCGTTACTGAAAAAAGTAACGGCGTTAGTAACGCCGTTACTAGTAACGCCGTTATTCCCATCACTGGTCCTGGGTCTACAGCCTCAGTCCTGGGTCTACAGCCTCAGTCCTGGATCTACAGCCTCAGTCCTGGGTCTACAGCCTCAGTCCTGGGTCTACAGCCTCAGTCCTGGATCTACAGCCTCAGTCCTGGGTCTACAGCCTCAGTCCTGGATCTACAGCCTCAGTCCTGGGTCTACAGCCTCAGTCCTGGATCTACAGCCTCAGTCCTGGATCTACAGCCTCCGTCCTGGATCTACAGCCTCAGTCCTGGGTTTACAGCCTCAGTCCTGGGTTTACAGCCTCAGTCCTGGGTCTACAGCCTCAGTCCTGGATCATCTACAGCCTCAGTCCTGGGTCTACAGCCTCAGTCCTGGGTCTACAGCCTCAGTCCTGGATCTACAGCCTCAGTCCTGGGTCTACAGCCTCAGTCCTGGGTCTACAGCCTCAGTCCTGGATCTACAGTCTCAGTCCTGGGTTTACAGCCTCAGTCCTGGATCTACAGCCTCAGACCTGGATCTACAGCCTCAGTCCTGGGTCTACAGCCTCAGTCCTGGGTCTACAGCCTCAGTCCTGGATCTACAGCCTCAGTCCTGGGTCTACAGCCTCAGTCCTGGATCTACAGCCTGTCCATCCGTGGGAACAGATTCCTCTTTTAATATCGGCCTCACTGATGTTTCTTAAATGTTTTCTTGTGTTGTCCCTTACATGATGCTCGGGGACATTCATGGTTCCTTTAAAGACTGCAAATAAAAATACCAGATTGTTTTTCCTGTTGGTGTAGATTCAGCGTGAACCTTCAGTGCGGCTCGGGGCACAATGCGAGCGTGGCGTTTCACTTCAACCCTTGCTTCGACTGTCACCCGACCACCATTGTCTGCAACAGTCAGCAGTGCGGGGCCTGGGCCGCGGAGGAGCGCCACCACAACCCACCCCTGCCCCAGGGCGCGGGCTTCAGCCTCACCATCACTGTCCACGCACATGCATACCAGGTACCAGCACCCATACCAGGTACCAGCACCCATACCAGGTACCAGCACTGTATACAAGGTACCAGCATGCATACCAGGTACCAGCAAGCATACCAGGTACCAGCACATATTTCAGGTACCAGCACGCATACCAGGTACCAGCACATATTTCAGGTACCAGCACGCATACCAGGTACCAGCACGCATACCAGGTACCGGCACGCATTTCAGGTACCAGCACGCATACCAGGTACCAGCACGCATACCAGGTACCGGCACGCATTTCAGGTACCAGCACGTATACCAGGTACCAGCACGCATACCAGGTACCGGCACGCATTTCAGGTACCAGCACGCATACCAGGTACCAGCACGCATACCAGGTACCGGCACGCATTTCAGGTACCGGCACGCATACCAGGTACCAGCACGCATACCAGGTACCGGCACGCATTTCAGGTACCAGCACGTATACCAGGTACCAGCACGCATACCAGGTACCGGCACGCATTTCAGGTACCAGCACGTATACCAGGTACCAGCACGCATACCAGGTACCAGCACGCATACCAGGTACCAGCACGCCCACCAGGTACCAGCACGCATACCAGGTACCAGTATGCATACTAGGTACCAGTGCGCCGATGCCACACATTTCAGGCTTATTTGATTCTGGTGCTAATTGTATTGGTATTCAATCCAGCATTGCAATAATTTGGTTTTAGGATAGTATAAATTTAACTGCTCATGAGGAAGGAGAAGAGAGTGGGTGGAACGTCTGGGCTCGATTCCACCTCCAGACAGGGCCTTTATGAGCGGAGTTTGCATGTTCTTCCTGTGTCTTTGTAGGTTTCCCAAAAATATGAACAATAGCTCCCCTCTGTCCGGGGCCAGGACTCCCATGAGACAGAGACTCAGAAATCTCCGTAGTTCTTTCCTGGTTTAATAAAGGTCATGTAATGATACATATTTATTTATTTATAGTTTTAACATTGAAGCAAAACTACCCAGAGAAAGGCATTTGTTTAGAACCCAGGGAGCACCCCTGACCCTGCTATGTTTTAGTAGTTAGTTATCATTGTGCTTATAGTGTGTATGTTTGTGTATGAAAGCAGGGCTGGACTGGGACAAAAAAACGGCCCGGGCATTTTTCCATTTTTAGCGGCCCAGGCAACTCAAAAGGTTCAAGGAGCCATATTTGACAAAAAAAAAAAAAAAACATCGTTGTATAAGGCTTTTATGAAGGTAACAGGGGCTGAAGCTGTATTAGCTACATTAGCTACATTAGCTACCTTAGCTACATTAGCTATATTAGCTATATTAGCTTTATTAGACTAATATCTAAATGACAAAGTAAAGGCTACAAACACATAAAAACCATTCATGATTATCAAATGTGTGTTTTCACTGCAGCGTGTCCTGGAGAGAATGACGCACCACGTGATGACTCTGCTTTAACTTTGACTTCCATTTTTTTGCCTTCATGCAATTGTACAAATACAGTAAATAAATCTGCTTTTTGGCTCAAAGGTCACACACCTGCATCACTGTCTGTTCATATCCATCACGTCACAGGCTGAAGTTTGCTGGAGCTGAATGTCCTTAATGGCCTTTTCTTTCACCGTCTTTGCGGAGGTTTTTGAAGTCTGAAAATAAGTGCTCTGACTTTATGATGAATGAATCTTTCAGTGAACAGTGTTTAAAGCTTCATTGTTCCTCCTGTTGCAACAAATCTCCCTATTACATCGCAAACATGAAGCAGTCCTTCCTCAATGACTGAAACCGACCCCTGGTTTATACAGTATGCGGAAGCAAATACTGTAGAGGATCAGGATGTCTACAGTTTCAAAAAAAAAATAAAGTACAATAGTCTACATTAAACAGAGTAATAAACATGTCTCAGAGTGAGGGAGGTGACACAGACAATACTATTGTTTGTTATAGCGATGAGAATTGGTCAAAAAAGACTGAAATGCATATTATCAGCCATTTGCTGGCTCTAAATCTGTTTAATCTGTTCACAACATTTTACTTTTGGGCTCAAACATGAACTTTTAATGCAATGGAAAATGTAGGTACCCGAGCTTTAATTTAGAGGAGAGGGGAGACGCGGACTGTTTTCTGCAGCGGTGTATTTATTGGGTGCACAAATTACGAAAAGACATGCATGGTCCTGTGCGCGTTTATGGTCTTGGGTACATGGGCACGTTGCGGCTACGCGCTCACCGTGTTGTGTTGTGAGCGGTTCCCGGTGAGTAGTTCCTGCGTCCAGCTCAGAGCCGCTGGATGCGGGAACACTGCGGCCGCTGAGGTGGTGGAATCCCGTTCGAGTACATACAGCAGGTGCCCCGCGGACACGCGCGCCCCCTCGAACAGTTCTCAACGGATTTACACTTTTCACAAACATGTGTTTTGTATGAGGCAGACAGACCGGCCCAAATATGGGCATCGGCCCTTCGGGCATTGCCCGGTACGCCCGATGGCCAGTCCAGCCCTGTATGAAAGGCTTACACAGCACATGTGACTGTACTGTGTTGCCTGTGTGCAGGTGTCCATCAACAACCAGCACATCCTGGAGTTCAGACACAGGATCCCCTTTCACCAGGTGGACACCATCAAAGTGGAAGGACGCGTAGAGATCTCCTCCATCTCCTTCATGAGCCCTGGAGCCGCGGTGAGAGCACCACTGGAATATGCTGATATTTGTGTGGTATAAAAGCCAGGTACCCCAGCTTTATCTTGCTGCATTTTGAAGCCAGTTGGTAGATTTTAGATCAGGTTCAAGGCTTTGTGATTGTAAATAATGTGTAATGTTTGTCCTCTCATTGGCACACAGCCCATTCAGCCCGGGTGGTTCCCTCCAGCGTTCGGAGGATTCCCCTCTGCTCCAGGCTTTCCGTCTGTTGCCAACATTATTGTTGCCAAAGCCTCTGACCAAAAGCACTTCCTCTGAGAGCTTCCAGTAAATGATTCTCTCTTTCCAAACCTCTCCCACTCTTACATCTGCACAATCACAGCTACGTATCTTTGCTGACTCTGGCCTTTGTGTGTGTGTGTGTGTGTGTGTTTGCGTGCGTGTGTGTGTGTGTTTGCGTGCGTGTGTGTGTATGTGTGCGTGTATGTGTGTTATTTACCGCCAGGTTCCATGTAAATCTGGGCCACGCCAGGGGCATGGCGCTGCACTACAACCCGCGCTTATCTGAGAACACAGTGGTGCGCAACACCAAGGAGCATGACCAGTGGGGGAGCGAGGAGAGAGGGGGGTCCATGCCCTTTCGACGAGGACAGGCCTTCACCGTGAGAACATAAACACACACACATCACACACACAGTTTTAATGGAAACACACATACATATAATTGTATTCAATTCAAAACAATATATTTGAGAATAGCCCAGAATCACTACTGCAGTTATCTTGGAGGACTTCACAAAGCTGTCGATTAGCCAACAACAGATCAGAGAATCAAACAGTTCAAACACAGGACATGATGATAGAAAACACATAGAGCCGTTGGTGGAGCGAGACCAACGTCCATAAATATTGATAAATGTCCTTAAACGTTCTGGATCATCACCGCTGTCCTTAGACCCTGCTACAAAAGTGAGAAACTTCGAGGTCTGAGGCTGAAGAAGGAGAACTGAGGCCACGCGTTGCAGGCCTGATGCGGCTCCCAGGCAGGGAGGGGAGTGCTGCCCAAGTTTTTAAAATAGCAGTTGTTTTGGTGTGTACATTTGAAAGTTGAGAACCTCTTTGGATGTTCATTCATCCACACAGTTGTAGTTGTTCATGTGTCATTCAATCGGCTATGGAGCCACTCACCAGTATAAATATATTACAGTGCCTCCCCCTAGTGGCTGCAAATCACACAGCCTGCAATGAAGTTATTTGAAACAAGGCAAAAAACAAGATTATACATTTTTTGCTATAGGAAATATTTATATTTAAGTGCTGATCAGTCCTAACCCTAACCCACATGGCTCAGTTAGTGGTTAGTTGTTTTGATGTTGAATAAGGCCATGGAGAAAAAGTGAGCTAATAAGTGCCTAATTACCAAATTAACCAGAAATTATACACTATTTAGCACTTTATTAGCTGTGAATTAGTGATGGCTAAACTAAAGTGTTACCCAGTTCACTTATCCTGCCTCATGTTTTGGGTGAGCGGGTAAGCCCGTATCATCCTATCATAAATTAATCACAGCTGTATTATAACACTTCATAATCAACATTTCTGTTTCCTTCCAGCTGATGATCAGTGTGGAACGCCAGTCTTTCCGGATCATCGTGAACGGGATGCAGGCTCACGACTACAGGCACCGCTTCCAGCAGCTGAAGCAGATCACCAGCCTGGAGATCGGAGGAGACATCACCCTCACCTCCGTCATGGTGTGAAAGCAGGAGTTATTATCACAGGGTGGCAGGGGAAGAACACCTCTCCTCTCATACACCATCACCAAATCTCAACCAATGTTTGTACGGTTTAATTCTATCACCGGTTTTCACGTGCATGTATTGTCAAGACTTTTTAGACAGAAAAATCATCAGCTCTCAGCCCACAAAGAGTACAGTAGTGACTTACAGGGCTCTCTGTTACAAGTATGCAAAAGATGATGTTTTCCCCTGCCATCCTGTAAAAAGTGCCAACAGAGAGGGACCAAATCACTTACCTTAGCCTCCTACTTGCAGTATGGAGCCCTTAAATATTGTTATAACTGCATGTGTTGAACCCTCTACCAGACATATGTTAAATAGATACAATAAAAGGGAAACACAGTGATGTCAGGGCCGTATAGAAGTTCTAGTTTGATTCATGTTGAAATACATAATCATGTTGGGAGTGTGTGGTTCCCTTCACTGTGTTTTCATACGTTGAGTTTATCTTGAATAAATCTGAACCTTGAGTTGGTCCTTTGTAGTGATTTGAAATTAAAAAGGTAGAAACATGTTCAAAATTCTGTCTTTGATTGTCTGACATAACCTGAGTATAGGGGCTTGAATTTTATAAGGCAGGAACCAAGTTTATTTGTATAGCACAGTTCATACACAAGACAACTAAAGAACAAGAAGAGTTTTTCTCCTTGTTCTATCTAAAACAGGCATGTTCAAACTCAGGCCTGCGAGCCGATTGTGGTCCGCTGTGTCATTATATGTGGCCCTATGCCTCGCTAACAGAAAGTAGTGTTTGAGATCCTAAACAGTGTCATCCAGCCAACTGTATAATCTTCTCACATTATTTTCTTTACACATTACTTTGACCAAATAGGTGATATTGGACACCACATTGGCACACTAACGAGCCACGGCCCAATGGTTGAAAAACAATGCTGTAGGCTTCCCAATTTACAAAATGATTTTACCATCAAAAAGATTAAAGGCCAAAAGGCTGCATGTTGTTTATTTTGACTTCTGAAAATACATGAAATCGATGAGGAAAACCGCTCCGAGCAGCAGCGCCTTCACTTTCACTTCCAAGTCCATCGGAAACATGACACTAAAATGAGAAGCGTCCGTGAACCCCTCCTGCAAGAATCCGGCCCACTGTTTGGATATCTGCCCCACGACTCTGCCCTCATCCAGCGACAAAACATCAAAAACCACATCTGTGCAACACTTTATCCTGCAGAACGGGCCCTTGATCTTCAACACAGCCCTACGACTGGCATCCAAGAGCGTGAACTTTGGCCAGAACCAGTGCCAGTTTTGGACCATGTAGCCTATGGGGAAACCTGGTGGACTTTGGATTTCCACTTCCTGCAGGCACCAGGGGAAACAGCATGCGTTGGTCTTGCGAGTAACGGCTAGAATCTCGCTGTTAAAGTTGTCAAGGATGCGTATGTTGAACAGGCGAAGCGGTCCGCAGCATTGCATGGTGCAGCAGTCTATGTCGTCTTCTTCTGCGGTAAAAACCTGCTGCCCCACGCTGTTTTTAATCACATACCTGTTCCTCTTTTCCCAGCCACCAATCACCTCCATTAAGTCCACTAATTGCTCAACAAGTAGCTGATCGATTTGTGTGAGATATTCCATTCCAGACAGGATCAAACCTGCTGAGTCGAAAGTGGCAGAAGTTGCGGCTGGGTTGGACAGACCGTATGGAGGAGGAGGTGCAGGCGGCGGAGGGAACCCAGAGTTGGGTAAAGGATGCACCTTGTTTTGCATCCCATAGATGTGGGTGCCGACTTTTTGGAATGCCATGACGGACCGCCTGGAGCAGCAGAAAAATAAAGTCTGATAATATTACATTTCAAAAATAAAACAATAAAATACAAAAAAATAGGTATTATTTATGTGTCCTTGGGCAAGACACTTAACCCCACTTTGCCCAAAGCCCCCGCTGAAAGATCAAGGCTATGCTCACACTCAGAGAGCAGCCGTCCTCCTGTGGACTCACCACCTGCAGAGGGTCAGTGAGGGGCTGGTGCTATGAGACTTGGGTAGCATCTCTGACTGCCACCCCCCTGACCCAGAAATGGATTAAAGGGTAGAAAATGGATGGATGGATGGAGGTATTTATCTCACATTGTATACAGTGATTTAAAATGTAACTATGGCCCTGTCTCCACTAGTCCTACTCGACTCTGCTCTGCTGCACTTCACCTGGTTAAGTTTCCATTGCACTTTAGTATCTCGTGCTGTCTCCTAGCAAACCGAGAACCATGGCTTACGCACTTTGACCAATCACTGTAGGTGCTGGCCTGGATAGAACCAGGACAAAGAGGGACTAAAAAAATATCTGGTACCAGTTAAACAGGGCTGAGTAGAGTAGAGTAGGGCAGGTGGAAACAAGGATTATGTATCTTGTATTTTTAATCCAATTTTGTAAATTGTTCCAAAAATATTTGTGTTTCATCACATTCAAAAGACATTCAAAAGAAAATTCAGAAAGAAGAAATCTATTGTTAAGTGGGGTTAAGAAACAATTGAAGCTAATGGCAGCTAACGGTCCCAACAGTTGAAGCTAATGGCAGCTAACGGTCCCAACAGTTGAAGCTAATGGCAGCTAACGGTCCCAACAGTTGAAGCTAATGGCAGCTAACGGTCCCAACAGCTGAAGCTAATGGCAGCTAACGGTCCCAACAGCTGAAGCTAATGGCAGCTAACGGTCCCAACAGTTGAAGCTAATGGCAGCTAACGGTCCCAACAGTTGAAGCTAATGGCAGCTAACGGTCCCAACAGTTGAAGCTAATGGCAGCTAACGGTCCCAACAGCTGAAGCTAATGGCAGCTAACGGTCCCAACAGCTGAAGCTAATGGCAGCTAACGGTCCCAACAGCTGAAGCTAATGGCAGCTAACGGTCCCAACAGCTGAAGCTAATGGCAGCTAACGGTCCCAACAGCTGAAGCTAATGGCAGCTAACGGTCCCAACAGCTGAAGCTAATGGCAGCTAACGGTCCCAACAGTTGAAGCTAATGGCAGCTAACGGTCCCAACAGTTGAAGCTAATGGCAGCTAACGGTCCCAACAGTTGAAGCTAATGGCAGCTAACGGTCCCAACAGCTGAAGCTAATGGCAGCTAACGGTCCCAACAGCTGAAGCTAATGGCAGCTAACGGTCCCAACAGTTGAAGCTAATGGCAGCTAACGGTCCCAACAGTTGAAGCTAATGGCAGCTAACGGTCCCAACAGTTGAAGCTAATGGCAGCTAACGGTCCCAACAGCTGAAGCTAATGGCAGCTAACGGTCCCAACAGCTGAAGCTAATGGCAGCTAACGGTCCCAACAGTTGAAGCTAATGGCAGCTAACGGTCCCAACAGTTGAAGCTAATGGCAGCTAACTGCAGTGTCGTGTTATTCCATCATGTGGCTCAACAGAAAGTTTTTTCACTAGATGTGCAGTGTTTGGGATGAAATAATAACCTTCTGTCTTGGCCAAGCTTACCTTAGGGTTTTCTCTTGTCCAATCTTCTTGCTGTTGTTGTTGTTTACATTTGAACCTCTTGTGGTAAACAGTGACCTATGTACTGCACAGGTGGACAAATGCAAGACAAAATAGTATTAATAACCTGGCCTTGTGGAGGTCTCAAGGACCACAGAGACTTTCGTTGTTTAGGCTATTTGGTGCCGAAGGTTTGGCCTTTTCTATGATGATGTAGATTTCCATATATAATGTATCTGTGTCTTTTGTTCTGCCTGAAATTAACGACCATTTTGTGAATAAACCAGCCAGGAGGCTTTGTCGTACAAAGATCCCGTTTTGCCTGAGTCTGATTCCTATCACTCTTCCTTTTTATTAATTAAAATTCATTAATGTTTTTTGAACAAAGCTCGTCCTCTGTTGAAGAAGTGCCATCTATGCTTCTTCCCTCGTGTTGAACCTTTCCTGTATAATCTTACATAATCTTAATATACAACAAAAAGATAAAAACAAGTTTGAATTGCAGGTAATTAACAAGAGCCAATTGAGCCATTGAGCCCTACACTGGACAACGCTTGGGAATCTAACTCCCACACATAATAAATAAGCCACTTTTTGTTTTGTCCCGACTCAAAAAATGTGACATGCATAATGCGGTGTTATGTCAACTTGAGCAAGATTATCAATAACATATTTCCACGTACTGTACATGTCATTTCTGTTTGAGTCCTAAATTATAACAAATTGATGAATCATTACAGACACTGTTTGTGTGTGTGTGTGTGCGCGCACGACTCCTTTAAGTTTCAGTAGCTAAAGGACACTAGTTTATTGTCAAAATAGATGGAGGTGCATAGTCATGGAAGCTGTTATAAACACCTCGACGTTATTCATGTTGTGACTGTTACAAAGGAACGTTGCTCATCCATCATCTGTACTTCAGTTAGCAGGTTTTGCAGAAGTTTCGTTCTTAATCCAAAGAACTTTCTCAAGGCCATGAGAAAATTCTGAGAGCGACTCAGACTTTGCACAAACTTCTCTCTGCTACATTACAACATGAAAATATTTCTTTAATTGTTTGGCACTAATGTATCTGGTGATTAAACATTTGTCATTCAGCCAACTTCAGCTATGTCAAATGTGCATCAAGAGAGAAAGGCCAAAGAGGGAGAGACCAGAAAGAGACATGAGAATGTGATTATCATCAAAGTATATACAATATAAAATCAAACAAAAACAAAAAACTCTTTCAAATCTTCACACTTTATTTTTTACACCTTTGACCTATTTGGTGATATTGGACTCCAAACTACATCTTGAGGCACACAAATGAGCCACGGCTCACTGGTTGAAAAACACATATTTTCAATTTACAAAATTATTTTACCATCAAAAATATTGAATGTTCAAAGAAATATTCTCGTTGTCATGTTTCATGGCCAAAATGAACACACACAATACAGAATATTTGCTGAACAGGCTGCATATTGTTTATTTTGACTTCTGAAAATACATGAAATCGATGAGGAAAACTGCACCGAGCAGCAGCGCCTTCACTCTCACTTCCAAGTCCATCGGAAACGTGACGCCAAAATTATTAGCATCCGTGAACCCCTCCTGCAAGAATCCTGCCCACTGCTTGGATATCTGCCCCACGACTCTGTCCTCATCCAGCGACAAAACATCAAAAACCACATCTGCGCAACACTTTATCCTGCAGAACGAGCCCTCGATCTTGAGCACAGCCCTGCGACTGGCATCCAAGAGCGTGAACTTTGGCAAGAACCAGTGCCAGTTCTGGACCATATAGCCTATGGGGACCCCTGGTGGACTTTGGATTTCCACTTCCTGCAGGAACCAGGGGAAACAGTATGCGTTGGTCTCCCTAGTAACGGTTAGAATCTCGCTGTTAAAGTTGTCAAGGATGCGTATGTTGAATGGGCGACGCGGTCCGCAGCATTGCATGGTGCAGCAGTCTATGTCGTGTTCTTCTGCAGTAAAAACCTGCTGCCCCACGCTGTTTTTAATCACATACCTGTTCCTAATCTCCCAGCCGCAGAACACTTCAGTTAAGTTGACTATTTGCTGAATGAGTAGCTGATCGATTTGTGTGAGATATTCCATTCCAGGTGGGATTGTGGGTCCCAAACTAGGTAGGCCGAAAGTGACAGAGGGTACAGCTGGGTCAGGTGGGCCGTATGGAGGAGGGAACGCTTCCCAACGCGAGTTGGGTAAAGCATGCACCTTGTTTTGCATCCCATAGATGTGGGCGTTGTCTTCTTGGAATGCCATGATGTTGAACTTGAAGAAATAGAAAGATAAGGTTATGAAAATAGGTTTGCTTCTGCATGACTTTGTGTATAAATATACATTGTATAAAAAGAAAGCAAAAAAATCTCATGAAATAGGTTTTTATTTCTCATGGAATACAGCGAATGTAACTATAGGCCCGTTTCCACAAGCAAATAGGCGCTAACAGCTGATACAAAAAGCTTACGTTAACGATGCTAACAGCTGATGCTAAAGGGAGCTAACTGTGCTAATCGCTGATGCTAATGGGAGCTAACAGCTGTTTCATGTTTGTTTTTCCATCATGTGGCCCAAAAGAAAATTGTCTTCAAAGATATGCTGTATTTGGGAAGAAAAACTGACATTCTGTCTTTGCCTAGCTTAAAGGAGCAATATGAAATTAAAGCTGCAAGCGGCGTCGAACGGCCCTCGCCACATCGCGCCACTCCCCGCACCGCGCCACTTGCCGAAGCGCGCAAATCCCCTCAGAGCGCGACTCCCTGCAGAGCGCGACTCCCCGCAGAGCGCGACTCCCAAAGAGAGCAACTCCCCGCAGAGCGCAAATCGCGCAAGCCACCACACTGCGCGAGGCGCCGCATGCGCGAGCCGCGGGGTACAAATCAGACTTTATACATGTGCTCCTGTTTACACACGTTCAAAAGTTTGGGGTCACATTGAAATGTCCTTATTTTTGAAGGAAAAGCACTGTAGATAACTTTAAACTAGTCCTAACTGTAAAGAAATACACTCTATACATTGCTTATGTGGTAAATGGCTATTCTAGCTGCAAATGTCTGGTTTTTGGTGCAATGTTGTAATTGCTGCAAATGGAGTATTCTTTGACAAAAGCAAAGTTGGATGTATAACATCTCATTTCAAAAACAAATAATTATTTCTAACCTTGTCAATGTCTTGACTCTATTTTCTATTCATTATTCACAAAGTGGTGGTGAATAAGTGTGACTTTTCATGGAAAACACTTGGGTGACCCCAAACTTTTGAAGGGTAGTGTATATACAGTCTCCATTGGATGACCATGTGACGCACCATCTTCCTAAATCCCTGATGGGAGCTTTGAATGTCTATGATCAATGATTGTGTGTCTCTATTGAAAAAACTTTTGAGCAAATCAGACTTTGCATGTGCAAACATAGGCCACTTACTGTGCATGATAGCACCTCCAACAAATACTTTTTTTTTAGTCTTTTACCAAAGACATAAAAATAAATCCTTTGTTGCCAGAAAAAAACGTAATAACAGAATATGGTGAGTTTTTGTGCATGCTCAGTGGGTCAAATATGAGATCAAACAACAGGAAAACTAAATGCGCGGTGTCCCCTATATAAAAGTTTTACTCAGCCTGTAGGGGGCGCTAATGGGACAATGTCATTGTTCACACTTTCAGGCGACCTAGGCTCAGGAGTTGAACAACCGAGTCAAGTTTAGTGGAAATCAGACTTAGTAAATGCCATTCTCCCCCATCTAAAACTTCACTCAGTCTGTAGGGGGCGCTAATGCTGCAATTTAATGTTTTACACTTTCAGTTTACCCAAACCCAAAAGTTGAACAACTGATTCAAATTTGATGCAAATCGGACTTGGTTTGTGCAAAAGGGAGCCATGTTTCTATTCTCAAAATGGGGAAAAATGTCACATTTTGCCGCTCTGCTGCTCAAACAACGTTTCACTGATCAAAATTCCCTGAAGTCATTTTGATGGTACATGTGTTGAGATGATGTGGAGCAATTTTCGGCCAAATCTGTGGAACGGCCGAGGCTGGTTTGATGTTTGTGTGAGGTGCACAATTGCCATAGACAATGAATGGGGGCGTTTGTCGTCGCCACGGCAACAGGGTAAAAAATAAGCCTTGGGCCCTTTTGACTTTTTTAATCAAGAGGGCAAAACAGATGTACAGTGCCTTGCGAAAGTATTCGGCCCCCTTGAACCTTTCAACATTTCAGGCTTTAAACATTAAGATATAAAAATTAAATTTTTTGTCAAGAATCAACGACAAGTGGGACACAATCGTGAAGTGGAACGAAATTTATTGGATAATTGAAACTTTTTTAACAAATAAAAAACGGAAAAGTGGGGCGTGCAATATTATTCGGCCCCCTTGCGCTAATTCTTTGTAGCGCCACCTTTTGCTGCAATTACAGCTGCAAGTCGCTTGGGGTATGTCTCTATCAGTTTTGCACATCGAGAGACTGGAATTCTTCCCCATTCTTCCTTGCAAAACAGCTGGAGCTCAGTGAGGTTGGACGGAGAGCCTTTGTGAACAGCAGTCTTCAGCTCTTTCCACAGATTCTCGATTGGATTCAGGTCTGGACTTTGACTTGGCCATTCTAACACCTGGATACGTCTATTTGTGAACCATTCCATTGTAGATTTGGCTTCATGTTTTGGATCATTGTCCTGTTGGAAGATAAATCTCCGTCCCAGTCTCAGGTCTTTTGCAGACTCCAACAGGTTTTCTTCCAGAATGGTCCTGAATTGGCTCCATCCATCTTCCCATCAATTTTAGCCATCTTCCCTGTCCCTGCTGAAGAAAAGCAGGCCCAAACCATGATGCTGCCACCACCATGTTTGTCAGCGGGGATGGTGTGAGGGTGATGAGCTGTGTTGCTTTTACGCCAAACATATCGTTTTGCATTGTGGCCAAAAAGTTTGATTTTGGTTTCATCTGACCAGAGCACCTTCTTCCACATGTTTGGTGTGTCTCCCAGGTGGCTTGTGGCAAACTTTAAACGAGACTTTTTATGGATATCTTTGAGAAATGGCTTTCTTTTTGCTACTCTTCCATAAAAGGCCAGATTTCCTGCCATTTCAATATAATTGCTTGCACAGCGCTCCTTGAGATGTTTAAAGCTTGGGAAATCTTTTTGTATCCAAATCCGGCTTTAAACTTCTCCACAACAGTATCTCGGACCTGCCTGGTGTGTTCCTTTGTCTTCATGGTTCTCACTGCGCTTTAAACAGAACCCTGAGACTATCAAAGAGCAGGTGCATTTATACGGAGACTTGATTACACATAGGTGCATTCTATTTATCATCATCAGTCATTTAGGACAACATTGGATCATTCAAAGATCCTCACTGAACTTCTGGAGTAAAGGGGCCAAATAATATTGCACGCCCCACTTTTCAGTTTTTTATTTGTTAAAAAAGTTTAAATTATCCAATAAATTTTGTTCCACTTCACGATTGTGTCCCACTTGTTGTTGATTCATGACAAAAAAATAAAATGTTATATCTTTATATTTGAAGCCTGAAATGGGGCGAAATGTTGGGTTCAAGGGGGCCGAATACTTTCGTATATGCAAAATTTCAAACATTTTGAAAAAACTAAATGTGAAAATTCCCATATAAAACTTTGAAATAGTCTGTAGGGTACGCTAATGTGTCAATTTGAAACATTTAACTTTCAAATGACCTAGACCTGCACAATGTATTGAAGTTTTGTGCAAATCAGACTTTGTATGTGCAAACGGGAGCATATTTAATGTTGTCAAAAAAAGGTCACATTTTGCCGCTCCGCTGCTCAAACAACGTTTCACTGATCAAAATTCCCTTTGGTCATTTTGATGGTACATGTGTTGAGATGATGTGGAGCGATTTTGAGGCGAATAGGTGAAACGACCGAGGAGGAGAAGATTTCCAATCGACATGTATGAAAGTATGAATTGAGGAACATGTGTACCGAATTTCATGGCTCTATGACAAACTTGATCTCCAAAACTCCCATAGGGGTATTATTCTGGCTGTTGTAGGTGGCACGGTTCTGGCATTTTTTGAGTCCCATAAAAATAAACAACAAACTATCCAATTTTTCGCCAGGTCTGATTTTTGGGCAAAATGTTACAACTTTTCATGCATGTTCAGGGGGTCAAATTAAGGCTCAAAGTGCAGAATTTGACATCTCTCTAGCAAAAACACCCTCATTTGGAGGTCAAGTTTGTCGAAGAGCCATGAAATTCGGTACACATGTTCCTAAAGTCAAGGCATGACATTTTTTTATCATGGCCCCGCCCTCTGACAAACAGGAAGCCCATAAATTTCACTGCAAAATGGAAAAATGAACAGCAATACTTTTCACACATGTCGGTTGGAAAGCAACTCCTCCTCGGCCGTTTCACCGATTCACCTCAAAATTGCTCCACATCATCTCAACACATGTACCTTCAAAATGAATTCGGCGATTTTTCATCAGTGATACGTTGTATGAACAGGGAAGCGGCAAAATTTGACCATTTTTTGGCCATTTTGGACAAAATTAAATTTGCTCCCGTTTGCACATACAAAGTCTGATTTGCACAAAACTTTAATACATTGTTCAACTCCAGGGTCTAGGTCAAGTGAAAGTGAAATAAAAGAACTTGGCTCATTAGCGCCCCCTACAGATCGGGTCAAAGTTTTCAGAGTTTTTCATACTAAAAACTCTGAAATAGTCAGTAGGGGGCGTTAATGAGCCAAGTTCAATTATTTCACTTTCAAATGACCTAGACCCTAGAGTTGAACCATGGATTCAAGTTTTGTGCAAATCGGAATTTGTGCAAACGGGAGGAAATAGAATGTTGTCAAAAAACGGCAAATAAAAACTCACATTTTGCCGCTCCGCTGCTCAAACAACGTTTCACTGATCAAAAATCCCTTTGGTCATTTTGATGGTACATGCGTGGATCGATTTTGAGGCGAAATCGGTGAAACGGCCGAGGAGGAGAAGATTTCCAACCGACATGAAAACTATTGCTGTTAATTTTTCCATTTTACAGTGAAATTCATGGGCTTCCTGTTTGTCAGAGGGCGGGGCCATAATAAAATGTATTTCTTGTCCTGACTTGAGGAACATGTGTACCGAATTTCATGGCTCTACGACAAACTTGATCTCCAAAACTCCCATAGGGGTATTATTTTGGCTGTTGTAGGTGGCGCTGTTCTGGTATTTTTTGAGTCCCATAAAAATAAACACCAAAATATCAAATTTTTTGCCAGGTCTGATTTTTG